AGTTTGCCATATTCAGTGAAAACCGATTATTAAAAACATAAGGTATGAGATTGCAGGATAATGTAGACTGTTATCGTGTCTTCCGCGGGCCATCGCATTACACTCGGCACCACTGAAATGTTGACCCGAAGGATGATGAAGCTGTCATCATCTCCAGGTCTCTTACTTTTGACTTTTTGGCAGCAGATGGAGGGCCAAATTAATGATTATGGTATTTTTCATCAGAGAATATATGAAAGAATGAAAATAAATAAAATTGTTAATAAGCTAACACTTAACAAAAAGAAATAAAATACATTGCCAGCATGTGTCATCAATGAGGATCATGTACACTATTTTGCTATATCCAAAACAATTTTGTAGTTTATGTCTTGGTGTATATTTTTACACACACCTACTTTTTTAAAGGACTACACATTTACATGTATGAAATGACTAAAATATTTTTGGAGACTTAACAAAGGCAGACAATATAGGAAGTTGTGATTTCCTCAAAGTACCTTTTAAATTTTTCAATGTTTTTTTCTTCCAAAGAGAGCTTTGACCACACCCATGTACATAGTCTAACTTGGAAGACTAGCTTCCTATAATGATCAATACAGATTACTTGTGAACTTAAAAAAAAAGTCTGACAAATATTCTAAATTTTTAAATTCTCTGGGTACATGTGTCTTCTGCTTTGTTAAGTTTACACGGTTCCCCTTCTTTTCTTGCTTTCACGTCTGCTCAGTATCACTGACTAAATCCTAGAAAGAACCCCAAAGATCATCTAGCTAAGCCACAACCGTAGAAGTAGGTGAATGTGTGTTTAAATAATCAGAGTAGGTATCCATCTCTTTTATTTTGAAATCATCATCTGGCTGGAAAACATGGATATCATTTTTAATTATAAGATGACTTTAGACATTTTGTAGATTCACAATTACTTTTTGCCAAATCATTTGCAAACTCGTACACCCTAGCAATCATTTTGAAAATCAAATTATATAGTTATATTTTCTTCTCCTGTCCCTAAGGCTTAAGTCCTACATTTTATAGGGTGCTTTATCACCATGATAAGATTCTATGCTGTTCTGCATGCACCCCTAGAATACCTATTAATAAAGTCGTGACCCTATGTATCCAGCTGAGTCTGTGTGTAACTGAGTGCTATTCTTCAGGGTAGGCGTCTTGGAGCAGATGGACTTCCTGCAAATTGGTCCTAGCTTCCATCACACCCATCTGTAAATGGTCCTCAGGTTGCTGCTTTTTGGCAATGGCATTTGAGTGGAGGAGAGAAGAGCCTTCAAGAATAAAGTACCTCATAATCACCAAGACATGGAACCAACCCAAGTGCCCATCGACCCATAAATGGATTAACAAGCTGTGGTATATGTACACCACGGAGCCAAAAAAAGATGGACACTACATCTTTTGGATTAACCTGGAAGGTTAGTTCTACTTAGTAAAGTATCACAAGAATGGAAAAGCAAGTGTCCAAAGTTCTCAGTACTAATATGAAACCAACAGATAAGCAACTATATACCCACACAGAATAAAAACACAAGGACATTCAAGTAGGGGGAGGAGAGAAAGGGGAAAAGGAGGGGGACTGGTGAGCTCTCACCTTTGAGCACCATGTGAAGGTGTTCAGAACACCCCCTAGGTGAAGGGCTCAACCACAACTTGAACTATACCGAAGAAATGCAGTCATTATAACATAATTATTTGTATCCTCTTATCAATCTAAATTTTTTTAAAAAGCTACCTATGACCAATAGTATGCTCCAGAAGAAGGCAGGGAGTGGGGAGAAGCTGGGGTGGGGGCAACAAGGGCTCCAGAATGTCTGCTGACCTCGGGATGTGACAACATTAATTAGGCAGTCAACACAAAGGACATCAGGTGTGGACATACGTTTACTTTATGGAGAAGAGATTGGGAGACAGAAACCTGGAATTAAACCCTTAATGAGCCAAACAGTCACTTCTTTTCTTCCTCTTAGTTCTTCACAAAATGAGAACAATTATATTAAGCTGGCAACCTTGATGCCCCAGATGTGAATCTGCATAAACTTCTGTTCTTTTTTTGTAATAAACAAACGTTGTATGTTTCATTAGGGAATTTTCCACAGGTTGCCTTCTTGGTCCTGAATTACTGGTGAGGTTTTAAAAAATAAATAACAGGGGATTTTCTTGGCTACTTTGGCCAAAGGAAAATCTGATTATCAAGTCATGTTATTTTCATTGATAAGATTCAAAATTAAGAAAACCTGCATATACTGTAAGTTTGTTTTATTAATGTACAACTGAACAGAATTTGGCCTCCAAAGGACAAGTCTTAAATGCCTAGGGTTGTCTGGTCAGGGAGGACAAGCCTACTCAGTCTTCTGCCTTAAAAATGGTTAAAATCGTAAACAAATACTTTAAAATGTGCCAGAAGTTCGAGGTTGCTAAAAAAAAAATTCCTAAATCATTCTGATTGATTACAAATTTTATCTGTGGATTAGAACTACTGTCTGATTCTTTTACCTATTCGAGTATAAAGTGTGTGTGGTCATGAAGTCACTCATTTGTTCATTTGGCCTCTGCCCTAAGACAGGCTAATTTTAAGCATTCAGGATACTCAGTTTCTCTTCTGTAGAAGCATAGGGTCTAATTCAGATACAAAGGCAGCAGTGGGTATATGTAAAAAGATGGACAATTCAAAAACAAGCCAATAAATGCTCTCAAGCAGGGAAACAGTTCTCTGGAATTCATAATATTGTTCAACACTTCCAGAGCGTTTGCTGTGTGGCAGGTACACAGCCAGCATTTGGCATGAAATGTCTCGTTTAAACCTCATAGCTACCCTAAGGAGCAGGTCCTTGTCCCATTGTACAGACGCGAAAACAGGCTTGGTGGCTCGCCCAAGGTTGCTCGAGTTGGAACTCCAACTCCAGCCATTTTATTGCACCCTGGCAGGATTCGACCATGGTGAGAACACAAAGAAGATTGGTGTGGAGCAAGAAAACAACCCAGGGGAGGATGGGGGTGGGCTGCTCCACGGACTCGCCACTGCGGTAGAAGGGCTGGAGCCCGGAGAGGAGAGAGGGGCAGGAAGCTGGGTAGAGGGGACAGGCAGGCTCACGCCCTACAGAACAGACTACGTGGACGGCAGAGGGGACCTGGAGCTGGGAAGTGTAAGAGGCGACATCATCTGTTCCCGGGTTCTTTGTTCTTGGTGAAACAGTAGTCCCCCCCCAAAAAAAAATTGTTTTAGAACCTTAAAAAATACAGATGGATTGATTCTCCTTTTCTAAATCCGAAAGTGAAATTTCCGCATGTTCAAGTGACTCGCACAATCTGATAGTCGGCAAACTCCAGCTGGATCCCGGGTGTCTGTTTTTCACTCTATCATGTGATTATCTTATCCTAATAAATAGAATGCTGACTACTGATTCTTAAAACAATGTTTATCACTAAAAATGAAAGGGTGTTTTCCACTTCCAGCCTCTCTTTCTTCTTAGCACAGATGATGACAGATTAAAATATGTGTACAGTTCTAAACACAACACTTTTTATTTCTATGGAATTATACACTATTCAATTCTGATCAATAAAAATAACAAGTTCTTATATTGAAAGAGTGTAAGTTTTCATTCTTATATATTAGAAATTTTCTGTAGAATTACTTAGGAGACTATAAATAAATAAATATAATGAATTTTCTTTCCCACCACGTTGATATTATTTATGTTTTGTATTACAGCATTTTGTCACACATTTGGTCTTATCAGAAAGTACAAAGAGTGCGTCAAAAAATAAGAAAACAAAGTGGGGTCCTCAATAGGCTCACTAATCTATCACTCCATATTTTCCTTCTGATAACCTTCACCTATCAACTGAGTCACCATTTAACGTTCAGCGATAGTTAACCATTCATCTTATCTCTACAAATTTCCTTCACAAAAAAAAAGAGTCTAGTTGCCTCATAGATACAATGAGTTTTGAATGGAAATATGAAAGGAATGAACTGTGTTCTCGCATAAAATCTGCAGATATTGACAAGACCATTGGAGGGAGAAATGAGTCAGTATACATTTAGCCATGTTAAGAATGGTTGTATAATAAGCAATTTCTATTTAAAATCTGCTTTTCCAAATCTTGCATCTTCCCACAGTTCATCTTTTCTACAAATGGAGATTTGAGAAGCCTCAGCTCAGGCACTGTGAGTCTGGGAACGTGTATGCTTTGCGACCCAGGATTTTCTATAGCAGGTGCAAGCCTTGGTGGCATTTGAAGCCCCTATGGTCCTCTAAGCCATGATGAGTCTCCAGGACATCTCTGGGTGCTCTACACTTAGGGCTGAAACCCACATTGATTTGTCTACCTTGCATTTCTGTGTCTGAAATCCGACCCTGGGAGTTGATTGCCCCAACACCAAGTTCAGGAATATGACCTTGATGATCCTCCAATGTTTGCCACAATCCTCTATATGAATTTTTATAGGGAAAGTTACTGATTCTTTTTTTTGCACTTCCAAGAGATATGATAATAATGGGCCTCTTCTCAATTCCCGTTCCACTGACTATGGGGTGGGAGGGGGAATCTCAAGGGTGCCATTCACCAAGGCAAACGTGAAAGAAGCAGCCATTAACAAAACCCAAGGTTATCTTTTAAACAATTAAAAACAGCAGGCATCTGATCTGTGTAAAAGTTTTCTGTGTGTCTGAAGTGTATATCATTTCAGATTTTGAGAGATAACTGAGAAAGAAAAACAATGCTTATTTATTCAGGAAACATTCTCTGTTTAATACAGCAAGAGTCAGAGAATTGAAACTTGCAAAGAGACCCATTCATTACTTTTCAGAGAAGAAATCTTCTTAAAGCTAAAACATCCAACTCTTGGTTTGAGTCCAAAGGTTCTGTTCAGTTGTTTTGAAGTTACAGAGAAAAAAATGTACTTTTCCTATCGTACCCATTGACATTTTTAAACAGAAATAATTCAAAGATATTTAAACAGTACAACTTCAAATGTCTGTGGTTAATCCATTGCAGAGAAGAATCTGTAGGAGAAAAAAAAAACATGAAAAAATAAACTTGTAGTCTGATAATCCTTTCAAACACTGGAATCAAACTAAGGTTTACAATTGTACTATCAAAGTTGGTTACATTTTTAACTAAAAAAGAATACAGGTTCCCTTGTTGCCTTTTCTAAAGCATCTTTAAGGGTAATTTTTTTAAAATTTTATTTAGAATTACAGAAGAAAACAGTTGCATGCCAAGGAGTGTTGTTTCACAAAGACTTAACCTACTTATTCTTGTACTTCTTGGTGAAGGCCACTCTTCAGTCAGATTATAAAAAACAGAATTAGTATGTGATCTTTCCCCCATATATTTGTGTTATAATTTAGACCTAAATTCTATTCTTAAGTGGTCAAAGATGAATAATTTAATTTAGAGAGAAGAGTATACAGTTACAGCTGCCCAGATATAAAAACTTAACAAATGTGTCACTCTTAACAGACCTCTCTGGCTATCCTACCTATTCCATTTAGGGACACCAGAAAATTGATGGGTTTGAATTCTAGGGAAGAGACCTTATCTCTTGCAACAAAGATTATTTCTTTATCTGTAAAATGAGGATAATAGCAGGATTTGTTTGACTATTAAAAGATGAGATAATCTGGCCAACAGAACATACTTAGGAACTGTTATTAATAGTTTTCTTCCCCTTTCCTAGAGTCAAATAGTGACTCATAACCTAAGGTTATTAAATACAGGCAAAATAAAGTGAGACTTAGTAGCCAATATGCAACAAATTTGTGTAACATTTTTTAATGTTGTAATAATTTATGTAATAATTTTTTTATTGTTTCAGGTTAATTTGAGAGTACAAAGAATTAGGTTATAATGTTTGTATTTATTAGGTAGAGCTCCTCTTACAATTCCATCCTGCCCCCAAGAGATGTGCCATACACCCTAACATTGTACCCATTAAGTGGGAGCACACCCATCCCCTCCTCTCCTCACTCTGCTCCCTCATTCTCTTCCCCCCACCTTGAGTTGATTTGAACTTTTCTCCTATGTGGGCATGTATTAGCACATCTACTGCCTTCATATTAGAATTAAGTACATTAGATTCTTGCTTCTCCATTCTTGTGAAGCTTTACTAAGAAGAATGTGTTCTATCTCCATCCAAGTTAATACAAAAGATGTAAAGTCCTCATCATTTTTAGTGGCTGAATAGTATTCCATGGTATACATATACCACAGCTTGTTAATCCATTCCTGGGTTGGTGGGCATTTAGGTTGTTTCCACATTTTGGCACTTGTAAATTGAGCTGCAATAAACAGTCTAGTGCAAGTGTCCTTATGATAAAATGATTTATTTTTTTCTTTCTGGGTAGATGCCTAGTAATGGGATTGCAGGATCCAATGGGAGGTCTAATTTGAGTTCTTTGAGGATTCTCTATACTTCCTTCCAAAAAGGGTGCATTAGTTTGCAATCCTACAGGCATTGTAAAAGTGTTCCCTTCTCTTCACATCCACACCAGCCTCTTCAGCTTTGAGACTTTGTGATGTGGGCTAATAAATTTAGTTACTCTCCTTTGAATCCATGTTTTTCAAGTTGTGTATAGACTTGTGAAATCAGCTTAGTTGGGAATGACCAGAGAAGATGGAATATCAGAGTATGTCACACATACAAGAGCACTGTTCTATTAAACTCTCACTTCAGCTACACATATGGCATGTACGTGTGTGTATTGTAGACTATTTCTTACTAGAGGTTGCAATTTTCAAAAAATGAAAACTATTACTTTGTCTGGTCTTTCTCTTCTCACTGACATCTCTGTGTTTTGAGTTCCTAGAGGATCTGTAAAAAGTGGCCTTAAGCATATGTCACTGTTCAAAAGTTTCCTATTTTTTGATGTATTCATCAACTGCAACACATTTTCTATATCCAAATAAAAGAAAATGTTCCGATTAGCCAAATACCATAATTTCTCGAATAATTACTAATCATGAGGCATGATGTTATGGGCACACTCTGATCTTCAAACCTACCTCATAAGGGGTTGACTGTGGTCTCTTATCTTACAATGGGTAAACTGAGGCTCACAGAAGGGAATCCAAAGCCAAGGGAGATGCACCCCACGCCCTGCCTTTTCTCCACTAGCCCATCAGCACATTCTAAGGGAGGATATGATTGTGTGACATGGTGAGTGGGGAATGGCTGTCGTGGCTAATGCTTTCCCTGTCAAAGATTTGCTGAGTGTTAAGCCCCACAGATGGGAAGGAATGCAGCCTGCAAAGAAAAGGGTGCATAGGAGGGAAGGACTCTTCTCTCCCAGAGCAAACTGGGTCTACCAGCAACTGGTTTAGTCATAACACAATTTAGCCTTTTAAAGAGTGAGAACTGAATAAATACAGTACAGGAAGTTCAAAAAGTAATATTTTAGAAACCACATTCTTTTCTCCAGAACAGACAGGACAGAAGGTTCCATTTCCCACATTAAAACATTCTGTCTTCTCCTTGAGACACAGTGAAACATTTACTGAGAAGTCTGAGCAGCCTGGAGCATGAACCCAGATTTTTTTTTTTTCCACTGTGTTAGCAAGAGCGATGGATTCAAGGGCAGTCCAGGATCCTGAAACAGCCTGCACGGATCTCTTTGCTAACGCTCAGCTGATATGAATCACTGCAACTGAGTGTTGCCCTGCCTTGCACAATGGTATTTGACATTATTAATAGTTGGCTTAGTCGGGTTGACCACAATAAGAGCTTACTCTGGCTCGAGAGAGAGCCTATCAAGCCCTTGTGAATGTCAGCACTAAGTCTGGGGATGGTTTCAGATCCAAACTTTAAAATATAAGAAATACTCTCTAAAGATACATTATAATGGATCAGCTACTAAAAACCATCGTAACAGGGCAATTGTGGAACACCAGATAAAATTTAAACTTTGGATGTATCACATGAGGAAAAGTTATAGAAGGGAACTTCTCAAGGGGATTTCTTACAATATTCATTAAAAATATATTAGTATGCTTTCCTTCCTTCCTTCCTTCTTTCCTTCCTTCCTTCTTTCCTTCTTGTCTTTTTTCTTTTCCCTTCTTTCTTCTCTCCTTCTCCTTCCTTCCTGGCTTCCTTCCCTTCTTTTCTTGCTTGCTTGAAGCTAGTCAGCTCAAATCCAAATTAACTTAATCTCATAGGATATTAGATGGTCTCAAAAAAATTCCTCCCTTCTAAGAGGTATGTACTCAGTAGTAAGATGTTGCAAAGAGCCTTTAGGACATACTGAGAGTGTCACCGAAGGCCATGCTGCTCTTGGACCCAGCATAGGATTGCCACTGGCACAAGGAAAGACACTTGATGGCTTGGGAATTTGACTTGGGAAACAGAACTATTGCATAGAATTCCAATCAAATTAGTCAAAACCATCTCTTTACACTAGCAGCAGCCTCTTATATCACTTAACTCATGTCCTACTGAAAAGAATAGTCCTTTAATAAAGAACTTGTGATTTGTCTGCCCTATTAGGAATCCACAAGTAAAGGATAATTTAATTTTTAATAATAAAAGGAATTTAAGACTATTAACAACTTTTGTTGCACCCACTTCTCACTCCCAGGAGCCCAAATTTCACTTGTAACTGCATATTTAAAACAGTGATGCTATCCAGCTCATGTTTCATCAGACTGAGCACAGAGACAATTCATAATCCTTATAACTGAAAATATAATTATTACACTTTCATAGACTATTTTAGCAACTGGTTTTAAAATCCTTTCTATCAAAGTTTCCTTACTGTTCATTTCTTAAAATTTATCCTTTATTTCTGTATTTTTAATAGTTCTTCACTAGGAAATATTTCTGACTGCCTATGTCATAGAAAAATTAGAGAATATGGGACCAGGCACAGTGGCTCACACCTATAATCCTAGCACTCTGAGAGGCCGAGGCAGGTGGATGCCTGAGCTCAAGGGTTTGAGACCAGCCTGAGCCAGAGCGAGACCCTGTCCCTAAAAATAGCTGAGCATTGTGGCCGGCACCTGTAGTCCCAGCTGCTTGGGAGGCTGAAGCAAGAAAATCACTTCAGCCTAAGAGTTTGAGGTTGCTGTGAGCTATGACACCACAGCACTCTACCGAGAGCAACAAAATGAGACTTGGTCGTTCTTCTTCTCACACTCCACCTAGGAAGAGGAGGAGCAGAGTTTGGGATCCCAATGGAAGTTCTGATGGTGACTGGGCCACTAGCATTAGTATCTGCCTCAAAAAAAAAACAAAAAAAAATTAGAGAATACAAAAAAAAAGGAAACCCTAAGGTGAAAATAAGAACTTCCCACAGCCCTACCACACAAAAGACATAGCTGTTAACATTTAGAATTCCGTGCATATAAGCTTGCATTAAGTTTTACAAAAAGTATCAGTATATGGCATACACAAGGTGGCCATGAGGTTTAAATTGCACACTACCTGAAATTGCACACAACGTTTATGGTCACCCTGCATAACCCCCCAAACTACCAATTATAAGTAATTCCCTTGTTACTCAAAGTTTTTCAAAAATATTTTTCATGGTTGCAAATCTTATCCTCCTGGAATGTGTGGTAATTTAGCTATCTCATATCACTAGGCAGTTAGGTCTCTTCAATTTTGGACTACTATAACTTATGCTACTCTTTGCAGTTATTACTTTTTAGAGGTAGAATTGGCATGTCATAAGGACAAAATGATGTTAAGAGTTGCAAACATGTTGCCAAGTTGCCCTTGAGGGAGACAAACACAGTTCCTTCTCACCTGTGCACAGCTCTCTGGCTGTGCTGGAGGTTATCAGAGTGCTAGGCGGTCCTCAAAATGGTCCCCATGGACCATCTCCCCTTCAACATGACCTGCACACAGTGACTTGTCTGATGAACAGAGTACAGCAGCAACGATGGCCTGCCACTGCTGAGCCTGAGTTACGGGAAGACTGCTCCTGCCCCGGTGGGGCTGCAAACTGGCACAGCCTAAGTGCAGCTGTTCCAGGAAATCAGCTGAGATTAATTTTTGCCAATGACA